AATCCTGGTGCTTAGTGTGACCTTGGACATTATTAAATAACTGTGGGATTGAGGACAAATTGGTTGACTTTTCTATACTTTAGTTTGAAATATTATGAAGTATTTTATCCTTGTTCAGCTTAAATGCTGATGGAAAGTTGGGCAGTAAATGAGTAACCTAGAGCTGTCATGACAAAGTACCACACTGGGTGATGTAAAACAACAGAAATTTTTTGTCTCAAGGTTCTGGAGGCTAGAAGTCCCAAATCAGAGTGTCAGTAGAGCCATATTCCCTCTGAATTTTCTAGGGAAACACTGCTCCCATATGTCTCCCTAGTTTCTGGTGGTTGTTGGAAATCCTTGGCATTCCTTGCCCTATAGAGGCATTACTCTAACGTCTGCCTTCACATGGAATTTTCCTCTCTGTATCACTGTGTCCAAAGTTCTCTCATTGTATAAGGACATTGGCCATTAGAATAGGGCCTATCTTAATCCAATATGACCTCATCTTACCTTGAGTCCATCTGCAATAACCCTATTTCCAAATAAGGTCACATTCACATATACAAAGTATTAGGAATGAAGTTATTATTTTTTTTTGAAGGACACAATTCAACTCACAACAGTTGATGTCTAATGAATGATAAACCAGGGTGCATTTGCAAGAGTTGACTCATACAACAGAGGAATATGGACTAATGAAGAAAAGGTTTGGCATTAAAGCATCGTGAGCCAAGGGGACAAGTAGAAGGGTCCAAATGTTGTGAGTCTCTCAGCTGAGTTCCTTGGACCAGCTGAGAGTTATGTGGAAAACGAAGATTGAAAGAAAAGTTGAAAGAACACTTTCACAAAAGTTCTTGTGAAATTTTGGCTCATGTAACAACAATTCCAATACAGAATGAGGAAGAGAGCATTCTCTGTATCACTGTAGAAATTCTATGGCTCAGAACAAAGGGGACAAAGCACTTAATAAATATCTGTTTAGTTTAACCTCATCATTGTTTCTACCTTCTTGTAGCATCAGCATCTCCTATTTCTTTGAGGGAGCTACCCCTCCCCCACTCTCAGTCTGTGAGGTGTGGTGGGCCTTTTCCCTCCAGTGGTGGCCACATGCCTGGGACTTGGCCAATCAGAGTGAATGGATCAGAGTTAGCACATGACACAAAGCAGCCAATGAGATTCAATTCCATGACTCTTCATAGAAGTATAAGGAAGACGTATCTTTTTACTTTATCTACTATCCAAAATCATTTTTTTTTCTTTTTTGTGATTTTAAAGATTTACTCTCTTAGGAATATCAAACTGCATGCAGTATAGTATTGATTATACTCATCATGCTGTACACTGGATCCTCAGAACTTACTAACCTTATAATTGGAAGTTTGGACACTATGATCAACGTCTCCCCATTTTCCCCACCAGGCAGCCCCTGGCAACCATTTTACTCTCAGTTACTATAATTTCAGTTTTTTGGTTTTTTTTTTAGAATCTACATATAAGTGAGATCACACAAGATTTGTCTTTTTCTGTCTGACATTACACTTTGTATAATGTCCTCAGGTTTCATCCATGTTATCACAATGGCAGGATTTCCTTCTTTTTTATGACTAAATAATATTCTTATATATATGAGTGAGTATATGTATGTGTGTGTATCATATTTCCTTTATGCATTTATGCATCAGTAGTCATTTAGGTGGTCTCCATATCTTTACTATTGTGTATAATGCTGCAATGAACATGGGGATATAGGCAGTAGATCGTAAAAGTTCTTACCACAGGAAAAAGGTAACTATGTGAGGTGACAAATGTATTAACTAACCTTATTGTGACAATAATTTTGTTATATACATGTATGTCAAATCAGTGTGTTGTGTACCTTAAAATTACACAATATTGTATGTCAATTATATATCAGTGAAGCTACACAAAATTAATTGATCATAAAAATAAGGTACCACCCTTAATAATAATACACTATGTTGTTTCATTAGAATGTTTTAGAGGAAGAAATTCCTCCACATAAAATGTACATACCAATTTTGTGACATAATTAGATCTAGAAACATAAACTGTAGAAAGAATGGATCTAAGAATCAAGGAAATAGAAAATTTTTTGGCTTCATTCTCCAACTTGCAATTTGCAAACAATGCTGGAAGCTTAAATGAAATCGAAAGATTTCACAATCTGCTCTACTGAGCTTTACATACCTGAGTTTGGATTATTAGGACAAGATGGGGTGCCTGATTTTTTGTTTGGCTTTAAGTCAAAAGTCTGCCTCTAGGGTGCTTGGGTGACTCAGTCAGTTAAGCATCTGACTTTGGCTCAGGTCATGATCCCACACCACAGTTCATGGGTTCTAGCCTAACATCTAGCTCTGTGCTGACAACTCAGAGCCTGGAACCTGTTTCAGATTCTGTGTCTCCCTCTTTCTCTCTGCTCCTTCCCTACTCACCCTCTGTCTCTCTCTTTCTCTCTCTCTCTCAAAAATAAATAATCTTAAAAAAATTAAATGTTATACTACCTCCAAAGAAACAGAAAATGATTAATTATATTACAGAACAACATCTGATACTGGACTTTTTGTGAACAAATTTTAAAATATAGATACTTTAAATCAATGTGTTTCAAAGAGAAACAGAAATTTGTTGTTGCCTTGTTATCCATCAGCCAATGGTATGAATAATCACTAATGGCATGTGTTAACTAAAACTAAACCTACCAGCAAGAAGAATACACAATAAAAATTTAACAGTTAAAAAAATAAAGAAAGGAAAATCAATGCTTGTCTCTACTCCATGGAGAGAAGACATGTCTTAAACTGAATCTAAGATAGAGAAAACTAGAACCAAGAGACAGAGAATAGAAGACTGCAAATAGAAAGAGAAAAGAATAGAATAGAAGACTATAGAAAAAGAAGTCCTGAAAGAGAAAGAGAAAGAAGGAGAGACAGTGAAACTGCTGACCTCTTGATATTTTTGGCTGCAGCCCTACCCTCCCTTCTATTTTTAGCTGGATAAGCTAATAAAGTTCTTTCTTTTGGCTTGAGCCAGTTTGATTTGGGTTTCTGACACTTAAAACCAAAAGCACTCAAAATAACATGAGGCCCATTTGGCCTGGTTGGGTTCTACAGCTTTGAAAGCAACGGAAGGCAGCACTCAGTGTAGCCAAGTTGTGCCTGTATCAACAGCCATGGCCACAGTTGCTGGGGGGGGCCTAAGCCCAATCTTAAATGATTTTCTAGTCTGAAGTCTTACATGGATTGGCACAAGTTGAACATAATGGGGCTAGTTCCAACAACATGTGAGTCACCCTGGGAAACCTCATATGCAACTATAGGAGACCCACCAGGGTCCAGTTATACACATGTGCACCATAAGACAACAACTTGTGGGGGTTACCATTAATGGGAAACTATCTTTTACTCATAAACTGAAGAGGCTTAGGGGACCTTCTGGCTACATGTCTAATAAAAAAGTAGCATGTGCCTCTCCCAGCACAGCCCTCCAGGTTCTGCTGTGATCCAGATTTCTATTATTTCATAAAATAATTAAAATTAGCTTCTTCCTCATGTACCTAGACTCAACACACATTCTCTTCTTATGCCTTAGAACAAAGAGTCAGAAAAAAGAGAAAGCCCCTGGGGCACTTGGGTGGCTCAGTCAGTTAAGCATTTGATTGGATTTCAGCTCAGGTCATGATCTCATGGTTTGCACTGACAGTGTGGAGCCTGCTTGGGATTCTCTCTCTCTCCATCTCTCTCTCTCTATCCCTCCCCTACTCACATGTTCTCACATGTTCATTCTCTCTCTCTCAATCTCTTTCTCTCTCTCTCTCTCTTTCTCTCTCTCAAAATAAATACACAGTGAAAAAGAGAGAGAGAGAAAAAAATCCAGAGGCATGGGTGTGTGAACTTGGACATGCACATGTGTGCATGTGAGCAATCTGGGAATTGCTGAAATGTGTTTTTTTAAATGTATTTTTGAGAGAGAGAGAGAGAGAGCATGAGCAGAGGAGGAGCAGAGAGAGAGGGGAACAGAGGATCTGAATGGGGCTCTGTGCTGACAGCAGCAAGCCTGATGCAGGGTTCAAACTCACAAACCATGAGATCTTGACCTGAACCAAAGTCAGACACCTAACCAACCAGCTGAGCCACCCAGGTGCCCCCTGAAATGTGGGGTTTCAATTGGACACAGAGTTAAGCTGAAAGCACCAACTTCACAGCATCAAGCACTTGGCCATGTATTCTTTTTTTATAGGATAGCTAGGGTTAGTGCTTAGCAAACACAACTTAAATTTTGGAATGTCTCTGGAGCTCATTTTTCTCAGAAAAAGGAGCATTTTCTTTTTATTGCTGTTTAAGGGGCTGTAATATCATTACAAACTGAAGGATTAATGAAAGAGAAGTCAAGACATCAATAAAAATGAACTTTGGAAGATGAAGATGTGTATATAACAGCAAACTAAAGGAAACAAGACTACAGAAATCTACAAAATTAAATAAGCCCATAAAGTTTGAACATTTCACTTTAAGCCCAAGGACATCAAAAAGCAAACAACATGCATAAATGCCCCTCATGAAAATCTGAAATAGAACATCAAATTCAGCATGTAGAAATCTGAAAATGAATAGATATGCAAAACAGTTGTTTCCTGATGTGATTACAGAAATCATGCCTAATTTCCTCAGTATAACTACTACACATTTAAAACATTGTTATGTCATGTTTGAGCGATAGTCACTTCACCAGTTAGGAGCCTAACTGGAAGGTCAATAAAGGTCAGATTCTTGCTCCATAGAAATCTCCTCAATGGCCTCCCTAATAACTGAACGCTGTCAGGCTTGAGCTGGTTATCTACATTTTACAAACAAATATTGTCGTAAGCAGGCTTAATCGGCTACTTAGCTACCAGAATAATTGTGTGTACATTGGAAGTAAATGAATTATATGTACACTGGAAGTAAATGAATTGTGTGTACACTGGAAGTAAACGAAGCACACACAAACAAGACACTCACCTTTTCTCCCCTGAGGATCGTGGCAGTTTTCATGGATGCACAGGCCCCAGGCAGACCAGGAAGATACTATACAGTTGGTAGAGCAAAGGATACTGCAGAGCCGAGAGGCTGAAGGGGCAGGTCCCAAACATAATGTCTTTTTCACCGGTCTAGAGACTAAAGGATAGAAAAAAATAATGATCTGTGTCACATTTAGAATTATTATTATTTAAGTTCATCTATTTACTGTGAAAGAGAGAGAAAGAGAGTGTCTGCAGGAGAGGGGAAGACAAAGAGGGAGAAGAGAATCCCAAGCAGGCTCTGCATGGTCAGTGCAGAGTCTCATGAGGGGCCTGAATTCACAAACCATGAAGTCATGACCTGAGCTGATACTGATACCCAGGCACCTGCAGGCTAGAATTACTAATGTCTTTATTTGTGTGTCTACCTTGCCCACATGGTTAAAGAGTATATACAAACAAAACATAAACAATCTCCCATACTTGTTGCTTAGCTCTCTACAATTAGCCTTTTGGGTAAAAAATTATATAGCAACAAAGGGCATGCACTGAGTTTCCTGCTTCACAGAATATTCCCTGGGAATGCAAGAGAGGACTGGAAATATAGATACAAATTATCTAGTTATGATTTTAAAAAATTAAATGGCTTTGTGAAGTTTCAAGATGAGTCTATCTAGACTATATAAATGACTGAGTTGCTGAGAAAAAATCAAAATCGAGCCCCTGAGGTGGGATGTTTAGCATAACCAATCTACTGCTGTTACTCCCCTGAGGGGTGGAGCTCTCAAAGACATAGCAGAAAAATGGTTTTTCGAAAAGAAGAAAAATCAGGATATGTGGCTGCAGAATTAGCCCCTCAAAGCCAGTTTCATTAGTGAGGCACAGAAGCACAAGAAATGTCTGAAAAGCCATGGCAAGATGCCAAACTAGAAGCCTTCCACCCCTTCCTTATGCACCTGCACCCAGAGTGTGCCCAGAACCGGGTCACTTCAGGATGCAGAGACCATCTGGCCATGAGGGTCATTCACCAAGTGACTTTTCCATGCAGATCCATTCTGGGCACCATGAAAATACACAGATGATGGAAAAGATGAGCTCCTGATTCTTATGGAGATTATAACAGGACAGGAGTCAGGATACAAATGATACAATAAAAGAATAGCCAAATGCATAACGATGCTTATACAGAGTGATTTTACACTATGGTAGTTTTGGACCAATTCAGAGTTTGTGAACAAATGGCTTAAGACCGGACAGTTTTATCTTATGAAATGACTTGTACTATTGTCTAAATATTTCCCATATGTCATGTCTATCTGGTTAAGCAGATTAAAAGTGCTTCAAAAACAAAGACGGGTGTGACAGGACTGGGTGGTAAATCACACCATCTACTTCGCTTCTTCTTTCTTAAAGACATGTTTCTAATGAACAGTAGGGCAGCTTGAGGTGCTTACGAAGGTGAGCAGGAAAACAAAAGTTCGTGAACGAAAATAAGAATGTTTGTTTACAACTAAGTCTTATATATTTTACCAAAAAGATTTGACCTGACTTAAAATAAAAGAGAGGGGCAAAGCAAGATGGCCAATGTAAATGTCAGAGATCACAAGCCATGTAGAGGAGGTGAGGATAGCAAGAGAGAACAAATACTGGGGGCAACTGATGTGTTACTGGGAAGGCTGAACTGTTTCTGATCAAACAGAAATTGGGCTGGCCAGAAGGACAGCGAGATGGGAGGTTGGAGTGACCAGGAATGGGATTTACATATGACACTGGTAGATTGTGGATAAAGAAGAATCTGTAATATACTTCAATAATAAGAAGACAGTGTATGAGAGAGAAATAGAGAAGAAGAAGAAGAAGAAGAAGAAGAAGAAGAAGAAGAAGAAGAAGAAGAAGAAGGGAAGAAGAAGAAGAAAGAGGAGGAGGAAGGGGAGGAGGGGGAGAAGGAGACGGCCAACCCACCACCACCTTTGAGTTGGGTAAGCACCACCTTTGAGTTGGGTAAGGGGTTTGTGATTCCTTTCCCAGGGATGAGCAAGAGAAAACACACAAGACTGCCATTCACTGACTACATCATGCATTCATTCTAAAACCATCAGTACCCACTTTAAATTAGACCCTCTTGGATGGTGTCTGCTTTCAAGGAGCTCTCAATCAAGAAGGGTAAGTCAAGTAGCACATTAGGGAAATTGATGGAATTGATGCCTCAGAGCATTGGAATGGAAAGTTACACAGCCAGAGGTCTTAAGATAGAAATGCCTTTGGGTCTGGGCCCATGCTCATTAGCATGTGTACTCACAAATTCAGATACAAGTTTCTCCCAAAAAACTGAAGCAGCGATAGTAAAGGAACTGGAGAATGTAAACGAATTAATCTAGTTATTTAATACACATTTATAGTGCATGCCAGACACTGGTTATAAACATCAGTTCACTTAACCTGCATAACTTTGAGGTATAGATTATTACTATTTCAAGTTTAAAAATGTGGAATCCAGAGGCCCCTGCGTGGCTCAGTCAGTTAAGTGCACAACTTTGACTAAGGTCATGATCTCATGGTTCAGGGGTTTGAGCCCTGCCGTCGGGCTCTGTGCTGACAGATCAGAGCCTGGAGCCTGTTTTAGATTCTGTGTCTCCCTCTCTCTGCCTCTCCCCCACTCACACTCTGTCTCTCTCTCAAAAATAGATAAACATTAATCTTTTAAAAAAAAAAAGATCTTTAAAAAATGTGGAATCTGCAAAACAGAAATGTTTACTCACTTGCCCACATTCTTAATTAGTCAGCTGTAGAGCTGAGATTGGGATCTCAAGTAGCCTGGCTCCAGAGTCTGTGCTCTTTTTTGAAAAAAAGAATCCTTTTCATGTTTGTTTATTTTTGAGAGAGACAGAGACAGAGTGTGAGTGGGGGTGTGGAAGAGAGAGAGACACACAGAATCCAAAGCAGGCTCCAAGATGTCAGCACAGAGCCTGATGCGGGGCTTGCACTCACAAACCATGAGATCATGACCTAAGCTGAAGTCAGACACTTAACTGACTGAGCCACCCAGGCACCCCAGAGTCTATGCTCTTAATCACTATCAGTCATAGGATATTCAATGTATACTGATAAGTACCTATGATGTGTCAATACTGTGTTAGGTGCTGAAGCCAGACAAAGTCCCTGTCCTCATGGAACCTATATTTCTGTGTGAGTTGATACTAACCATACATGAGTCCATGAGTCCCAACAAGAAGACTGGAAAGCTGTTACTGCTGCTTCTCCTTCTTTTGTCTTACTGCAACACCAGACAGATTTTAGGTGTCTGGTGATCAATGCTTAGAAGATACCCCAACTTCTCAGCTCCAAGACCCAGGAGACATGTGCTTCTACAACTTTTTTATTTGAGGTTGAGCCCTGCAGATGAAACTATTCAATCTACCACTGCAGCACCTAGGCCCACAGGCGACCTTCACTACTATCATTAGAAGCTCCTTAATGTCTGTGTAATAAGTAAGCTTGCATATTGGCAGTACAACTAGAAAGAGACTGAGAATGTGTCCTATGTCAAGGACATTGTTTTATAGATTATTATGTTTATCTGACTTATTTTTGGAGGGCTTTAAGAATGTTCGGGAGGTAGGGGCACCTGGGTGGCTTAGTCGGTTAAGAGTCCGACTTTCATTTAGGTCATGATCTCGCAGTTCGTGGGTTCGAGCCCCGCATCGGGCTCTGTGCTGACTGCCAGCTTAGAGCCTGGAGCCTATTTCAGAGTCTGTGTCTCCCTCTCTCTCTCTGACCCTCCCCTGCTCACGCTGTCTCTCTCTCTCTCCTAGAAATAAATAAAAAAATTAAAAAAAAAAAAAAAGAATGTTTGGGAGGTATAGAGTTAAGTCACTGAGGGTCTCTTTTGATAAATACTTAACTGTCAATCAGTTGACTGTTGGATATTAGGGATAATGGTACTCCTAAGATTTAGAAGTAGGGAGGGACATGGTATATGTAAGAGAGAACCTGGAGGGAGTGGGATTCCATGGAGACTATTAAGTGTCATAATTACAAGGCCCAGGGGTGGAAATAAGGCCATTTGTCAGAGCATTCATGCCTCTTTAGCACCTATTGCTTTGACAGACAGTAGATCTTAATCCATACAGATAAATTATTCCAGTGCCAGGCAACATGTCTAAGATGCTTCAGCTGAGCACTGAATCAATGTACTTGGGCCAACCTATCTCTATCTCAGATCCTCTGGGCTACATTTGTTCTGGAAATAAATCATAAGCAAGTCACAGAGCACTGAGCAGCTTCAGACCACTTAGGTAGTTTTCTCTCCAGGAAGAGAAAACACTGAATAACCCTATGCCTGTTGACTATTCAGACCTAGAAGGGAGCTTGAGAGTTAATTTATTTTAATTCATCAATTTTACCCAAAAAAACTGAGCTCCAAAGATATTAGTCAGCAACTTGAGGGCAGATCAAAACTTGAGCCTTGTCCAGGTGGTTGACTCACCTCTATCTGTCCCTGTTGGATTTACTTCCATGGAATGGAGTCATCAGACAGGATACACAAGGCTTCTTATACTAAGGATATTTTATTTTCTTTATGAATCACAGTAACTCCAATGGAGGCAGTCAGTGACACAAGAGATCCAAGATGTCCATGAAAGCTGCAGGCTCACTGTACCAAATCCTTTCCCTATTTCATCACTATTTTTACACCCCTCCAAATCCTTGCTCATTCCTTCCCCACCAAGCAAGAGGTAATGAAACCAAACTTTGCTCCACTTCAAGAGATTATTTACTTCTTTTATTTGTAGCTATTGACATTGTAGTAAAATAATTTTGGGAGGTGAGCAGGATGTAGAAGTGAGATGGGCCACCTGGATTTGGATGGTTTGTGCACTTTACTTGGCCGAACTACAGCCATGATGTTTGTAGAAAGAGATGCTGTTTTCTACCCATATGAAATCCCTTCTCTAGATATACTGACTGAAAAATTCTACTTCTCTTTACCATTTCTGTCTTCTCAGATTCAGTGAATCCCTATTCTAATCAGTCCAGGTCTATGCTTGTCTCTCTTGTACAAGATGCCTTTTAGATCATGCCACCTTGACCCTTCTGCCATTTCTGTGTTGACCAATTGCCTGAATAGATAAGCAATTATACAAGATTTTACATTCT